CAGAGCTCTCTCAGCCCCACCCACCTCACTGGTTGTCTGTTGTGGGGAGGGGGAGGGAACGGAGTTTGTAAGCCGCTCTGAGACTCCTTTGGGTAGTGAAGGGTGTGGTATAAATCCAATCTCCTCCTCCTCCTCCTCCTCCTCCTCCTCCTCCGCAAGAGATGAGCAGAGGTGATCTGCCATTGTCTGCCTCTGCATAGCAACCCTAGTCTTCCTTGGCCGTCATCCCATCAAGTGCTGACCAGGGCCGACCCTCTGCTTACCTTCCAGTATTGGGGTCGCCTGGGCTGTCCAGGTCAGGGAAAAGCAACCTACGGCATATCAGAAACTACTGACCGGTAAAACAGGGAAGCTGAAATTCTGATGCAATCTATCCAAGGCCTGGATTAAAAACAGACAAACAATTTTGCCGTGCATTTCTCAGCCGCCACCGACATACTGGGCAGCTTTCAGTTTTGTTCCCCTTCTTGAGCTGTGTAGACGACGAAGCCTAGGAGAGATGAGCAGGTTTTGCAGTGGGCAGGGCACAGTTTGGTGTAGTGGTTAAGTGTGTGGACTCTAATCTGGGAGAACCGGGTTTGATCCCCCACTCCTCTGCTTGCATCTGCTGATGATGTGACCTTGGGTCAGTCACAAGCTCTGGCACAGCTGTCCTTGAAAAAGAGCAGTTTGTGTCAGAGTTCTCTCAGCCCCACCCACCTCACAGGGTGTCTGACGTGGGGAGGGGAAGGGAAAGGAGTTTGTAAGCCGCTCTGAAACTCCAAGTGAAGGGCAGGTTATAAATCCAATCTCTTCCTCTCTTCTTCTTCTTCTTCTTCCTCATAACCCTTCTGCCTTTTCTTAGGAGACTGGGGGGCCCGGGCACAGCTGCAGGGCAGGACGTCTCTGGTCATCCATAACGTGACTCGTGCTGATAAAGGCATTTACCTTCCTCTCTTCTTCTTCTTCTTCTTCCTCATAACCCTTCTGCCTTTTCTTAGGAGACTGGGGGGCCCGGGCACAGCTGCAGGGCAGGACGTCTCTGGTCATCCATAACGTGACTCGTGCTGATAAAGGCATTTACCGGTGTGAGGTGGTGGCCCCCGAAGACGTAAATATCGGAGCCGAGATCAACATCAACCTGACTGTTCACGGTACATTCCCGGACACCCTCACAGTGTACAAAGACGGCCATGCCTGGCTGCCTTCTCCGGATTGTCATTCGGTCCATGGGAAACTGATGATCCATGAAAGCATGCACTCAGATCCGTAACCCATCTTGCCTAATGGCCTGACTGGCATCAGTTTTTTGAGGTCTTGGGCAGAGGTCTTCCCCAGCCGTGATCCTTGAAATCCTTTCTTCACAAACAGACATAACCCCTAAGAGATGCCAGGGACCGTCTGGATATAAAGCATGTTCTCTTCTACTGAATTGGAATACCTCCCCCCACCCACCACGCATTGGCTGCTAATGAGAGCCAGTTTGGTGTAGTGGTTAAGTGCGCGGACTCTAATCTGGGAGAACCGGGTTTGATTCCCCACTCCTCCACTTGCAGCTGCTGGATGACCTTGGGCAAGCCATAGTTCTGTCAGAGCTGTTCTCTCAAGGACAGTTCTCTCTGAGCTCTCTCAGCCCCACCCATCTCACAGGGTGTCTGTTGTGGGGAGGGGAAGGGAAAGGAGTTTGTAAGCCGCTCTGAGACTCCAAGTGAAGGGCAGGGTATAAATCCAATCTCTTCTCTTCTTCTTCTTCTTCTAATGATACTCTGTTGAGCTCTGAGAGCTCAATTGGACGAGATGAAGTGAAGCATCTCCTTCTGTCCACGCAGTGCCACTTGCGAGCTCCTGCAGCCTCAATTTGCCTTGGGGCCATATAAAGTAGGGGTTTAACCCTTCCATTTTTATTTGTTTTTTAAAATTATCATGGCTTCTCTGCTCTACAGTTTAATGGAGAGATAAGACATATCCTCCAGAAACATATATTGTCCCACCTTTCCAATCCTAATAACAAAGCAGGAAGTCTGGTTTCAAACGGTGAAACTGGGTGGAGGCTGAAGGGTTAAACCTTACAATCTCTTTCACGCACAACGTCAAGGTAAATTGAAGTTGCACCAGCCTGCAGTTTTCTTTTTATAAAGGCAACAAGATGTGTATTCTTCCCCTTGGGGATCATGATGTAAGAAATACCGAAACACCTGGAGGGGGGGGCGTTGATTGGGGGTAAAGAGTGAAGCAGTCTGACTGACGTGCTTCTCCAACAGTGAAACCAGTGGCTCCTAAGTGCCGAGTGCCCCCCTCAGTGCCTGTGGGTAAATCCGCCACCCTCCACTGCCAGGAGAAGGAAGGCTTCCCAGAACCGACTTACAGCTGGTACCGCAATGCTGACTCCTTGCCGGCCGACTCCAGGTCCAACCCCAAATTCCAGAACTCTTCTTTCACCGTGAACTCAAAAACAGGCACTCTGGTAAGTCTTACTCCGGGAAGGGAGAGAGCGGATGGGTGGATGGTCAGTTCTGGAGCCGTTTGGGGTTATCCTAAGCAGCGTTGCATTTGTCTGCGTACATTGAAATTGGTGGGTTTGGAAGGCTGTAACTCTGCATAGGATCGGGTTGCCAGCTCTGAGTTGGGAAATACATGGAGGTTTTTTTGGGGGGAGCCTGAGGAGGTTTGAGGAGGGACCTCAGCAGAGCACAATGCCAATAGAGAGCCAGTTTGGTGTAGTGGTTAACTGCGCGGACTCTAATCTGGGAGAACCGGGTTGGATTCCCCACTCCTCCACTTGCCCCTGGCTGGATGACCTCGGGCAAGCCGTAGTTCTGATAAGAGCTGTTCTTGAAAAAGAGCAGTTTCTGTCAGAGCTCTCTCAGCCCCACCTACCTCACAGGGTGTCTGTTGTGGGGAGGGGAGGGGAAAGGAGTTTGTAAGCCGCCCTGGGACTCCTTTGGGTAGTGAAGAGCGGGGTATAAATCCAATCTCCTCCTCCTCCTCTTCTTCTAGAATCCATCCACCAAAGCAGCCATGTTCTCCAGGGGAACTGCTCTCTATTGTCTGGAGATCAGTAGCAACAGCAGATCTCCAGGACACACCTGGAGGCTGACAACCCTAGTTTGTGAAACATAATGTGCCTAACCGTGCAGCTCTGCATGGAGTTTGGAGGTTTTCTTTGGAGGTTTTCAAACAGAGGGAGGAGAGAGAATCCTCCCCCTCCCTCATTCATTCTCTCCACCCCGGTGATCAATTTTTTACCCCTCTGTAGCATTTCAGACAAAGGTCCTTTCCTTGTTATCACACAAGCCAAGAGAGGAACAGGAAACACGGCCTTGAACTTTGTCCCTATCAAACGTGCCCCTGAAGTCGTACTTGGAGGATGCCCCTGGCCATCATCTCTGCTATCCTTTCCAAGAGAGAGTGTCTGCCAGCAGAAAATTAGTTTCTGGCTCCTCCGTGAACCTGAGCCTCCATTATTTACAGGAATTCACAGTCACCATGATGGGGTGTACCAGTGGGGGTGCCTGGCTGTATTTTCAGCTCACTGGAGGAACGTGCTTACTTCTCTGGAGACTGGTCTTTGCACACCCAATCAGATTGGGTTGTGTTTTTTTTTTAACATTCCCCTCTGTTAGGTAGGGCATCCATTTATATTTACAGAAAAGCCCTCTGGGGACTGTACTACATCATAGTGAAACAGCATGTTTGAAAACTCTTTGCATTCAGAAAACCAGCATGACAGCGAAGTGCAAGCTTTTCTTTCCTGATATGCTAGCTTTCTGCATGCAGGGAGTCTTTGTCATGGGGAGTAGTCAAACATACTCTCTGGTCCACCTGCATTCTGAAGCAGTACAGGCCCTGGAGAGTTCTCTTGATCTGCTGCATGTGAAAAACTTAAGAGAAACACAAACACTCAAATGTTACTGTTGTTCATGCAGGCCTTCACTGAGGTACACAAGGGAGACACGGGCCGTTACTACTGCATAGCGACGAACAACGTGGGTTCTGCCAAGTGTGAAGAACAGCAGATGGAAGTCTGTAAGTGGCTTGACTGGACGGGGGCAGATGTTTTTAGCCTCTGCCACTCTTTCTTCAGTGTCAAAAACGGCTGGGCCCATAACCTACTGTAGGGTTAACTAACTAGGTAGGAATTCGCATACACAACAACATGTTAATTCTTTCATGACGTCAGGAAGGGAACTTGCTCACATATCTCAATGCCAGTGTTCCCTCTAAGCTGAGTTAGTGTGAGCTGGCTCACAGTTTTTCAGCCTACGGCTCACAGATTTTTGCCTCAGCTCAGGAAGGAGGCCTCCAGAGCACACTAATTGATGCAGTGGCCAAATCGCTCGCTCACAACTTTAATGCCAGCAGCTCACAAAGTAGAATTTTTGCTCACAAGACTCCACACCTTATGGGGAGCATTGCCCAGCACCCCTTCTCAAGTTCATGTACTGAAGTCGTGAAGGTTCAGCTTCTTGTTCAGACACTCAGACTTCTCCTAGGCGAGTGGCTTAGTTAAGATGTCAGCAGCCGTCTCTTGTGTAGGACAATATTTTATTTTGGTCAGTCCTCGCTGCTGCATCTCTCTCACAGCTTGGTATCTGATGGCAATGCACTTGCTTTTGCCTTTGATGCTTTCACTCTTGGATAAGTTAATGCATGCCTTATTGTCTTCAAACATGGTTACTGGTGTAGGTTCTTCTATTCCAAAGTCTTTCAGTAGACTCATAATCCATTCAAGTTCACCACGGGCATTTGATGCTGATTCGTATTCTCGTGTTTATTTGTGTTTATATGGCCACGCCTACGAACTCAGTTTCCAGCGCTGAAGCTCCTGATTCCGGCACAGCATCAATCTCTCTAATGAGGCATTTTGGAAATTGAGTTTGTAGGCGTGGCTTCAGTATAAGTCCAGTCTCGAGAAAGGATTCTCGAAAAGTTTGTATAGCCGGTACATCTTCAACTGCTTTGATTGTACTTTGGGCTATGAATATATCAACCAGCAAGAACCTTGTGTTGCTATTTTGTTTGGAAGCAGAAGGGGACAGCCAGCCAAACTGTTTACCTTTAAGAACAGCCTGGCAGAGAAACAGCGTCTTATCTCCAGTGTTAAGTGAATGTTATTGTTTTTCACTGGGCATCCTGGCATACTTACTCAGTTGCTGACTTGGCAACTAGGGTCTCTTTTTGAATAGCCCAGTTGATTAGACTGCCTCCATAGAAAAACAGGTAGCCACTTAATGACTTGTGGTCAGTCACGTCTTTGGCCCAATCAGCATCCATATATTTAGTCAGTCTTGGGTTGTCAAAAGCTGATAATTTCAATTTCAGTTTCAGGTCAGCTGTATTACTGAAATATTTGACTAGACTCTTTACAGCCTTCCAATTCATGGTGATTATGTGAACTGGTCTTTCTGCCTAGCATTCCCACAGCTGCTGATACGTCAGGTCTACACACTGTACTCAAGTAGAGAAGTTTGCCATTTGTTTTCTGTATTGCTTGTTGTTTTTAAGTAACACTCCATCTTCAAGTTTAAGGTATGCAGGTTCAAGTGATGTACTTGCTCTTTTGACATCCTTTAGGTCTAAGTACTCAGTAAGGTTAACCCAATGGCATGGACCCTTGCTGGTGGTGTTGTCTGATCTGGCAACTTTTTTGATGTGGCAGAAAATCTAATGAAAAAGAAGAGCAAAGGTCTAGGTGGTGCTTTGGGGACATCTTTCCTGGGCCACCGATGAACCCGAACCTCTTGCATACAGTTTCAGCAACACTCTTGAGTTCTGGTTTGTGGATCGGATCGTGAAGCTGGGAGACCAGTGTTGCTTCCTGCAGAAGCTGACCGTCGATCCTGTCTTTCCTCCTCTAGATGACCTGAACATTGCGGGGATCGTTGGGGGCATCTTGGTGGTCCTTGCAGTCCTGTCTCTGATCACCGTGGGGATCTGCTGTGCCTACAGGAAAGGATTCTTTGTCCACAACAAGCAGAATGGAAACAGGTGAGCCCTACGTAGGCAGCCTTTGCCTGGGGAATCTGCCTAAGCAGGGCGAGAAAGACTGTTATGGCCATATCCGAGTCCAGTACGCTTAGCTTATGGACATGAGCAACCAAAAGGGCTGATTAAAAAAAGAACTGAGGATATGGAGCGGCAATCTGATATCTCTAGTGCATCAGAACTTGGGGTGCTGTTAAATGTCAAAAGCACTATTGAACCGGCAACATATCTGGCCTCTGTGGAGGCAAATAGAAGAAGAGGAGATTGGATTTATACCCCGCCCTTCACTACCTGAAGGAGCCTCAGAGCAACTTACAATCTCCTTTCCCTTCCCCTCCCCACAAGAGACACCCTGGGCAATGTTCCCTCTAAGCTGTGGAGTCCTGTGAGCAAAAATTCTACTTTGTGAGCTGCTGGCATTTAAGTTGTGAGCAGGTGATTCGGCTACTGCATAAATTAGTTTGCTCTGGGGCCATCCTTCCTGAGCTAAGACAAAAATGTGTGAGCCGGAGGCTAAAAAACGGTGAGCTAGCTCACACTAACTCAGCTTAGAGGGAACACTGCCTGGGAGGTAGGTGGGGCTGAGAGAGCTCTTTTGAAGACTGCTCATGAAAGAACAGCTCTGAGAGAACTTGTGACTGACCCTAGGTCACACCAGCAGCTGCATGGGGAGGAGGAATGGGGAATCAAACCCGGTTCTCCCAGGTTAGAGTCCGTGCTCCTAACCACTACACCAAACTGGCTCTGTTCTAGTTTTTCAAGGGTGTTTACTCTAGCTAGGTGTTGTGCTCTCCCCTCTGCGGTTATTGAAGGTAGGTATAATAAAATTCCCTACCCAGAAAGGTTACGCTTTTGCTCCTTAGGTTAGGTCGAGTCTGTAGAGCACATGTCCTTTAGCTGCCCACTCTACAGAGGGGTACATCTTGGAATTATTTCTCAGCTACCTGATATCAGGGCTTTTTTGGTAGAAAAAGCCCAGCAGGAGCTCATTAGCATAATAGGCCACACCCAACAGCAGAAACTCATTAGCATATCAGGCCACACCCAGTGTTCCCTCTAAGCTGAGTTAGTGTGAGCTAGTACACATTTTTTTAGCCTCTGGCTCACAGGTTTTTGTCTTAGCTCAGGAAGGATGGGTCCAGAGCAAACTAGTTTATGCAGCAGCCAAATAGCTCGCTCACAACTTTAATGCCAGTAGCTCACAAAGTAGAATTTTTGCTCACAAGACTCCACAGCTTAGAGGGAACATTGGCCACACCCCCTACAACACAGCTCATGAACATATTAGGCCAACCCCCCATGTTACCAGAAATTAGGTCATCCAGCCACACCCACCTTTTGCCTCTTATTCTGTTCACCTTGTTTGTCTTCAAAACCCAGGGCTTTTTTTTTTTTAGCAAGAACCCCTTTGCGTGTTAGGCCACACACCCCTAATGTAGCCAATCCTAATAAGTTTCTGCTGTTGGGTGTGGCCTGTTATGCTAATGAGTTCCTGCTGGGCGTGGCCAACCTGGGAGCCAGCCGGAACTCCGTTCCTGTGCGTTCCTGCCCCAAAATAGCCCTGCTTGGTATGATCCCTGGCCATATAGACACATATAAAGGAAGGCTTCATTGGTTTTTATCCAACAATAATCCTAAAACCACATGTCACATTGCTAAACTTTGTGCATTAATATTCATATTACAGGAATGGCACCTTAAAAGCTCTTAAATTTGAATTTTTTATTACTGTATTTTATGTCTGGCTAAACTGCATGCTGGTCACAGACCGTCATAAACGGCTACTACGACTATTCAAGCTCAGTCACGTCTTAGAGACCGACAGGGTTTTCCGAGCATAAGCCTTCCAGAGCCATAGCTCCCTTCGTCAGAAGGTTTAATCCAGAAGTGCCCAACATGGTGCCCTCCAGAAACCTTTCCTGGCACCCACCAAATTGTTTTTGGAAAGTGAGTGGGGCCAGATTTCCTGATAAATCACATGTTTGGTTAAACCAAGGAGCAGGCAAGTCAAAGGATGGAAAGTGTAAAAAGAAGTGGTACCCAGATAAATTTTATACAGTCAAAATCCTTTAAAAATGGGTATTCCAAAGGGCTGTCCTCCAGAGTCAGCCAGTCGGTCAGTGAGTCAGGGGTCATTTCGTAGGAAAAGAGGTGCAGGAGCTCATTAGCGTAACTTATTTGCATATGCCACACCCCCTGACATTACCGGAAGTGTGTCAGAAGGCAACACCCACCGCTCAGGCTCCACTGGACTGTTTTGTATTGCTAGCTACTGGGGGGGGGGAACGTGCAGATCTGTCCTCACAGAGGAGGGAGAGCTTGTACCTGAATAAAACTTGGTCTTAAAGGTGCCACTGGACTGTTTTGGACTGGGGGGCCGGGGGGAGCTCTGCAACTTACCTGGCTGCTTCTTGCTCTGACTGAGGGCTGCTGGGAGCAGGGGGCGGGGCTTGTTGCATGTGCCCGCCCCCTGGGCTCTTTACTGCTGGAGCTCCACTCCTGTGCGCTCCTGCATGAAAGGACCCCTGCAGTGAGTCAGTCTTCATTACAGGTCACAAGCCATACAGAAGCAGAATTAACAGTATTCATTAATTAATTAGCTAAAATGATCTCTCTACAAATATTGTCCAGCCTAGTATGCCAGACTGTGAAAAGGGTTAGAAGTTTTCAAAGTATACACAGGACATTATCTCAGTCCCTATTTTCATAGCAGAGGACAGAAAGTTAGCTATTGTATAGTGATTCTTTGGTCAGGCCCAGCGTCCTTTCCTACCCTTTTTGACACCAGCCTAAGAAAGACAGTGTGGCGTTGTGGTTACAGCAGAAAACTGCAGAAAACCAGGATTAAATTCCGACTTGGCCCTGAACTCTACCGGGAGACCTTGGGTCAGTCTTTTGCTATTAGCCCACGTCATAGGATTGTTGGGAAGGTCGCACGGGGGAAAGGAACACCATGCCTGGTGCACTGGGCTTCTGGAAGGAAGGGCGTGTGTGAAAATGAGATAAATATAGACAAGGTTCTACCGGCTCCAGTTCAGGTAGAGGGAAAGAAGGAAGGAACCCATCCCTGCCAAAATCACTAGCCACTTCTGTGGTACGGAAGCAGTGCTTAATGTCCTCAGCTCCTTTTAAAATTCTGCAGGATGGGTGTTCTCTCGGAGCTCTCTCGGCCCCACCTACCTCACAGGCAGTGTTCCCTCTAAGCTGAGTTAATGTGAGCTAGCTCACAGTTTTTTAGCCTCCAGCTCACACGTTTTTGTCTCGGCTCAGGAAGGAAGGCTCCAGAACACACTAATTGATGCAGTAGCCAAATTGCTCATTCACAACTTTAATGCCAGTAGCTCACAAAGTAGGATTATTGCTCACAAAACTCCGCAGCTTAGAGGGAACATTGCCAGGGTGTCTGTTGTGAGGAGGGGAAGGGAAAGGAGTTTGTAAGCCACTCTGAGACTCCCTTGGGTAGTGAAGGGTGGGGTATAAATCCAATCTCTTCTCCTCTTAAAAGTCGAATTCCTTTTTTCCCCCCTACAAAACACAGGGTTGATGCTTACTTTCTCCGCTAGAACAGCCTTTGTGAGAAATGGGGAGGTAGATTTACCATGGGGCAAAATTGAGGGGGGGGGGCTGACCTGGATAGCCTGGGCCAGCCCGATCTCATCAGATCTCAGAAACTAAGCAGGGTCAGCCCTCGTCAGTATTTGGTTGGGAGCAGGGGTCATTTTGCAGAAAAAGAGGTGCAGGAGCTCATTAGCATAACTCATTAGCATAACTTATTTGCATATGCCACACCCCTGACATCACCGGAAGTGTGTCAGACGGCAACATCCGCCGCTCAGGCTCCACTGGACTGTTTCGGATTTTGTTACCAGAAGTGTGCTCATCCAGCCACACCCACCTTTTGCTTCTTATTCTGTTTACCTTGTTTGTTGTCAAAACCCTGGGCTTTTTTTGTAGCAGGAACTTCTTTGCATGTTAGGCCACACACCCCCTAATGTAGCCAATCCTAATGAGTTTCTGCTGTTAGGTGTGGCCTATTATGCTAATGAGTTCCTGCTGGGCGTGGCCAACTCAGGAGCCAGCCAGAACTCCGTTCCTGTGCGTTCCTGCCCAAAAATAGCCCTGGAGGCAGGCAATGGCGAACCACCTCTGAAGGTCTCTTGCCTTGAAAACCCTGCGGGGTCGCCATAAATCAGCAGAGACTTGGTGGCAAAAATGTGAGGCGAGGCAGGAGGTACCAGCACTGCATTCATGCTCCCATTTGCATTTGAGGGGCCGTGGTGGCTCAGAGGTTCAGTCGCTGAGCTGCAGACCGGAAGGTCGGTGGTTCGGCAGCTCGAGAACCGAGTTCCTCGTGAGCTCTCGTCTCTGGCCCCTGCTCCTGCCAACCTAGCAGTTCGAAAGCAAGAAATTGCAAGTAGATAAATAGGTACCACTTCGGTGGGAAGGTAACAGCGTTCCGTGCGCCTTGGTGTTTAGTCATGCCGGCCACATGACCACGGAAACGTCTTCGGACAGCGCTGGCTCTTCGGCTTTGAAACAGAGATGAGCACCGCAACCCTAGAGTCGGATTCGACTGGCTTTCGAGCAAGGGAACCTTTACCTTTACCTTTTTAACCCCGGTGGGGGTCCGGTCACAGCCAGCCAAGTAGCCAAAGTCAGAGATCTGCCTGATCAAAAGATGCACTCCCTCTGCGGCAGAGCAGAAACAAAGGAAATCTTTACCTGTTGAGCACGCGGTAAGCAGCCTCCATGTTCCCATCAGGGACCATCACTGTCCGAGCGATAAATCTGATGTGATTCGCCATGTCGGCTGTGCTTGTTCACCACGGAGCCAAGGGCGCTAGTGTCCGGTCCAGGCAGATCCCCCCAGCTGGAGATCTTGTTTCTGCAAAGCAAGCGAGAATCCCCAGAATGAAGGGTTAAGTGACAAATCCTTGTAAGGTACACAAGACTGAAGCTGGCTCACAGTTCCTTACTCACAAGTCCAAGCACAGCCCTGCCAT